CGATCCAATGTAAAAATCTCCCTAGTGATAGATTCATCATTAGTCATTAATCTCACAGTTTTTAATTAAACTACTAAAATTGATCACTGAATTCATGTGCAGGAGGCAGAATTAAAAAAAAAAAAAAAACAAACACTATACTGGAATATACATATGGCCATGCTTAACTCTAGAAATATACCTGAACACTATAAGGAGCTATCATTTGTAATGAAGTAACTTCCCAAATCACAATCAGACACATTTTTACTGCCAGCTTAATTTCTTAGAAAGGAGAAATGCTTTGAGTATGGTCCACAGGACACTAAAATAGGGAGAACAAGCTTATTTTTAACAACTCAAACTCAAAAAAAGGTTTAAAGTTTAAAAAACTAAAAAAAAAATTTTAAAGCTTTAGCAAGTTAAGATAGCATTTTCTTAGATTGGTGATGCCCAATCAATAAAAGAAATGAGACAAAAAGAACTGTCATTTATACACTGAATTAAAAAAAAATAAATTTTTAAAAAATTAAAAAAAAATAAAAACAAGGGGCACCTGGGTGGCTCAGTAGGTTAAGCTTCCGGCTTCAGCTTGGGTCATGATCTCACAGTTAGTGAGTGCCAGCTCCACAATGGGCTCTATGCTGACAGCTCAGAGCCTGGAGCCTGCTTCAGATTCTGTGTCTCCCTCTCTCTCTGCTCCTCCCCTGTTCATGCTCCTCTCTCCCTCAAAATTAAATCAACATTAAAAAAAAAATTAAATAAAAGTTGAAATAAACAAATAATCCATAGCTTCTGCAAAGTTGAATCTTTATTCTCTGCTTTGGATCCATAACACTTCCTTCCCCCAAGAACAAAAGTAGTTACGATAAAGGGGATTCTGAAATATTTTCTCCCATTTCTACCAATTAATTCATAACCCATGCCTCCCCTTTTTACAAAATGCTCCTTAAAATGTATTCTTCTCCCAGTTGTTTCCATTACACTCCCATTTTCTAAGCCCATCATTTTATTAACTTATTTTCTTAATTAATAAACATAGAAAATTCTCAGTTATCTTCTTAAATAAAGGGAAGCTAGAGTATAAGTAATTCAGAAACTGTTTCTGTTTGACTTGAAATGCACTATGATTCTGTAAACAATGGACTGAAATCCGTTTCTGATTCAGGGTAAATATGAAATACTCATTAGCTGATAATTCAAGGAACGGACCTTGACTTATGATTGTGAAAGCATTAGAGTGGTAGGCAGCAATTTAGTTTGGTTCTAAATATTTATCAAAATTGCTATTATTCAAAAAGTTAAAGGCTTCCTGCAGCTACATACATTTTCCTCAGCTGCATACATTTTCTTTTAACTATACTTTTATAGTCTACTCTCAATTATCCATGTCAGTGAAGAGGAACAGGACATTGAACAAAAGTGCACTCTTCTAAAATCATTCTTGCTTTTAAATGTGCAGATATTGGCATTACACTGGTTATCAATTCAAACTAAATGAAGTACTGTGAAGGTACTGCTTAAATCAGGCTACGTGATCAATCCTGGATATTTACCTTCTCTGAAACCTTCCCAGGAGAATTTGTGTTCAAAAGTCATCCTTGACAAAATTCAACTTTTTCCAAAATGTAATCCCACAAAGTACGATGATTTTTTAAAAGTACATAGCCACCGTTAGTGAGTTTAGAATACTATTTTTTTTCACTGGCAGGCATTTCCCCAGATATTTATTCATATTTTTATTTTTTAACATTTGTCTCTTTCTGTAACAAGAATATGTTAACTTGTGACATTTGTTTATTAAAATTTCTATTATAATTTTCTTTAACAGATTATGCAAATATGACTCAGAGAAGCTAAGTAACTTGCCTAAAGTCACACAGCTTAAAAGAGCTAAACTAGACCTCAATCCAGCTAGCTCCAGATCCCAGGGTCTGAATCACATTTGTGTGTCAGGGAAAACAAAACAACAACAACGACGAAGACAACTTCACTTCTCATGCAGCTTCTACAATTACCACAGTAACAAGTTTTGAGTATATGAGCTAGGTTCTATCAACTAATATCTATTACTTACTTATGCATCATTGTTATGCCTATCTTTCAGCCTGGAATATTCCACTTTTGGGGTCTGGTGCCATTCTGATTGTTTTTCATGCTCCCAATCCTTCAAACCCTGATGTAATATTTAATTAAGGCTAGACATTCTGAAATGAACACACAAAGAAACTTTGTATACCTCAGTAACTTTTTTCCCTCAGAGATATTTCTTGGCTGCTTCACTGAACCCTGAGATTCTGTACGTAGGTTGTGGGGAAAATTAAATCACTATTATAGTGGGTTGTCATCAATCATCACCGCTGTTCTTTTCATTTATCAAGTGAACATTTACTTTGTTCCATACTGATTTTTTTTTTTTTTAAGATTACTCCATGTAGTTGAGACTAAACCAATGGTCACAGATCAACCTCTACACAATGGTCTTAATGAATTCATTCAAGGAAGGGGAATCCAATGAATGTATTCAAATTTGATAGAAAACCGAGCTTTCATAATTCATTCTGATTCTTCAAACAAAAATGACCTTTGGTGAATCAACAGGATCAACTGAGACATCCATGCTTGAATGTGTTCCTGTAGGCTTAATGTATTTTTCCTCACTGCATTATATTTTAATGATTAATTTCACACTCTCTCATGGTACTTTAGCTCATGAATCACAGGTATTACTTTGAGAGAAAAAATATATACTATGTATAATGGAAGTTGTTACTGATTAAAATGTGCTACATACAAGAACTACATAAAACCTGAAAAACCTTAAATACCAATATTCTAGGTTATAAATAATATCAGGCAGATTAACCCCATAGACTATACTTAGATTGAGGTGAGTGTAAGGGCGTGGACTTCTCAAATGGGTCTTAGTTCAAACAACATATGAGATTAAGCCAGTAATTTAATGTTTCACTGGCTCTTTTCTTTAGTGTTCTGTGGTTAAGAACTGATTTCAAAGACAACTACAAGAGAAATAGAGAAAGAAATCAGTTAAACAAATAACATCCCATTCTAAAAGCCAAAGGCCACCTGCCCTCTGACACTCTACTCTAAAATCAGTACTGCTTGAGCACTGTCAAAAGTTTGCTATTTAGCTTAGTTAAAAAAAAAAAAAAAAAAAAGATTTGATTAAGTCAAAGTAACAAGGACCAAAAAGGACTATGACAATGGCATAAATCGAGTATCCTTTACCTTGTGCACACATGAATAAATATTGGGTTAAATATATCTTACTGATCAATATGAAGGAGTAAACTATCCAGAAGAGAAACCGCACATAAATTAACCAGAGAGGTCACTACAATATAATTTGACTCTTCTAAAATGGATTTTTCCCAAACCAATGTATGGAGTCATAAGAAAACATGACTACCTTCTCCCAACAGAACACAAAGTTACTTCAATCAATGGCAGAGGAAAAATGTGGCATCAACAGCTATTCTGCAAACAGGTGGTTTAAAACTTTTACTTAAGCCACTGAAAGGACCGAGGAAAGAGAAATTTGTCATGTAAAAAAAAAGAGAAAGCATACATGTATACACATATACAGAGATTTTATCAGAGAAGGAGACTCAAAAAAGAAAAGCCTTAAGCAAAACACAACAAAAAACTAAAAAGCAGTTTATCTTAGCTCACAACGCTAAATTGGGTATGTCTAAAATCACTCTTTAAAATTAAATCCTTCCCATCTCATACATAAAGGTCTTAGGGAGAATTTAAAGTAAATGGTCATGCCATTTCAGGTATTTATTCACAGGAAGAAAGATGACATTTTTGAAGAAACAGTGGAAGAGGGAATCAAAACTGTTGAGATGAAAGAAAAATACAGTTTATGTATTTCCGATAGTACTGCATTTTTCATGTTCTCAATACTTTGTTCCCTTCCTCCCTAGGTTAAATAATTTCATAAGCATTACCATGGCTAGCAGGAACTGCTAGAATAGCTGACACACAGATCTCCTTTATTTCTATACTCCACTTTTGCATATATTTAGGATTCAGCAATTGGAAGTGGGGGCAGCAGACAGGTGCCCCGAAATGCATACGGGTGGGGAAAGGGGTAAGTGCCTGGGTAGACCGGGAGGGAAATGGGACCTCCTATCTTCCAGAGTTCTCACTGGAACTCCTGTGCTTCTTAGTCACACCATTCAGAGCAAGACAAGACAGGCTCCCTTAATCCCCTCGTAAGTAAACACCCAGGTCCCAGCCCAAAAGGTACCCCCTCCAGTCGCGGGACCCCGCCGCTTCTGTGCCCCGCTGCCCACGCCAGGTTCCGGCTCCCTGCTCCTCCACCTCCCTCGCACACCTCCCGCGGAAGCAAAGTTTCCCGGGTCTCCCACTCTTTCCCGAACGACTGCCTCGGCCTCCCCAACACCCACCAGCGGGGCCCCCCACCTCCCGCCCTCGGCGACCCGGCGCGCAGTCGGTACCTCGATGTCTGCCGCGTCCTTGCTAAGCACGGGGGCCATGGCAGTGTTTACAGCCTGAAGTCTCCTAGTGACAGACCCTCCTAGCGTCCTCAAGCTCCGGTAAGACAGCGAAGTGACGGGAAGCCGGAGCGATTGAGTAAATAGGAAGCGGAGGGTCCGCTGTGAGGTGGCGGGGCTGGCGCCGGGATGCCACGCCCCCGGGGCGGGGCTGCGGGCTCCGCCCCGCGGCTCCCAGCGCCCCGCACTGCCAGTGGAAGGGCGCTGAATGGAGCCCGGCCCATCCCCCACGCTGGCGGCTTGTTTTCCTTCCACAGGCGGAAGGAAGGAAGGGAGAGAGCACTCGCACCCGGGACTGACCTTCGCTCTGTAAACTGTTAGAGCCTGAGCTTGGTAGGCTGGGGCCACATGTTAGAGACCCACAGGATTAAAGGTAAAAGCAACTGGCGCTCTAAGTCACAAATTGCTCCTTTTCTTTCCTTCCTCACGAACCCCTCAAGGTGCAGAAACATTGGCTTATGGGCAGCTGCACCTTCTGGAACTCCTCATGGATGAGGTAGTAAACGTTCCAGCATTCATCCATCAAATAGGCGGGAGAAGGCAAGGGCGCGGGTCTTCGACAGGAGACAAAACCCGGGAGAGCGGACACAGTGTTACAAGGGGGCCCAGGGAGAGAGACAAGCAAAATTTCTACAGCCAGAAGTGGCAAGTAGTAAGTACTCTAAGTGCTGTCGGTGGTACAAAATCAAGGTTGTATCTTTGCAGGACAATCCATTCTAACGACTCCTTAAATACACGTAGAAATATATTTCTAAAATTTGAAGCTTCCTTGAAGAAAGCTTTATGTTTTGTTATAGAGCTTGCTGGGGAGAGGGGGGTGATTTCCATTTAGAGACGGTCTCAATCCAGAAGACATTGATCTTTGAGTGTTATCTGTCTCCAGACCTCCCTCTATTCTCCTGGTTAGATAGATACCGCCTCTTCTCTTCTCCCATAGCACTACCTGCTTACTTCAGGTAAGGTTTTTACCACACTTCTTGATCCTCTTGGCTAGATTGTGAGCACCTTGGATTCAGGTATTTCCTCTGTATCGTTATTCTTTCATTAGTTCATTTATCATTTCAGTCAACAAATAATTATTGAACAGTTTCAATGTACCCCTTGTTAGGTACTCTGGATATAATCCGTCTTCAGGAAGTACCTTAGTCTCATGGAGATTATACTCCTAGTAAGCAAGTTGCAGAATAGTAAGAAACGGTGATGCCTGGTTGGAAGATCAAAAAGAAATGGGAGAGAGTAACTGGGGTGTTAAATGCTCACTACCTTGAACGATTTGGGAAGACTTCTTTAAACAAACCATTAGATAACCTTCCAGAACCTGAAATTTACTAGACAGAGAATGGATACATTTTCTTGAATCAAATTGTACTGCTAAGAAAAACTAGGAAGCTAAAACCTTAAAATCCTGGTTTTCTCGCACATTTTATCCATCCCCAAGCTCTCAAAATTCAACCTCCTAAATGATCTTTGAATGTTTCTTCATTTCTCCACTTTCACTCCATCCACGAAGGTCCAATGGTATTCCATTCTTCTACTCTTACCTTACCTACCCCTCTCCACTCCAGACTGAGTTTTAAAAACAGTATTAATTGACTCTTCTCTCACTCACTCACACACACACTCACACTCACACAGAGTGAATAAATCCTTCCGTAGTTTGCATTGCAGTCAATAAATACAAACTTCTAGTGACCTCTTACTAACCCGCCCCACCCTTCTCCAACCTCACCTATGGCCATGGGCCATAACCCTGTCTCTTTTATAACATCCTGATCATAGCCTGATCATATTTTATTTGCATATTTATTTAAGTATGACTTGTTTAATATCTGTCTTCTACTTAGAATGTAAGCTCCAGGAAAAGAAACCTTGGTTGTCTACTGGATAGTCAGCTCCTAGCCCAGAACTGAAGCATAAGAGACCAAGAATACTTGGTGAGTGAATAAACATAGTAGATTCTGAAGGTGGTTTATGCATCAAACAGTTCATTTCAATAACTTCAGTTCCACTTTACCATGCATTCTTCTCAGTGTCCCACTTATTCCTGAGAAGTAAATCACAGTATATTTCAATGAATCTCTACCTAAAATGTGTCAAACTAGTTTCTTTTTCATGAAGTAATGTTCCACAGTCAGATGTTCCTGAATCTTCCTACAACCATACCTTACACACCTCCAAAGTCATCTGTATCCTCCTGGGGGAGATTATATAATATATGTAAATTATAATATATGAAAAATATATACATTATGAATAATAATACTATTATAATGTATGTAATATTTCTAATATATGTGTACACCCATACGTGCATACACATATTTAGGGGAAAAGAGTAAATGCATACAGACAGAGATAACATTTATAATATGTTATAAAATACCATATTGATAATATATTTATAATATGAGTGATATATATATATAACATATATAAGTCCTCCAATTTAACCTGAGAGTTTCAATAGTCAATTTCCTAATCACTAGAGACAGACACTTATATGCTCTGTTAGACTACACTCTACTACAAGTCTTACCAGTTAGCAATCCATATTTTAGTTGTTTTATGGGTACAAGTATCCAAGTTATCCTCAAGAGGTAGACACTTTAATGCCATATTTGCCTTTTATAATGATTATTCTCCTAACTCACCAAAGGATAAGTTCAAAATATGCTGTCTTTCCAAGGGTAAGAACTTCTTCAGTGACACTCAGTAATCAAATACACAATTGAAAATTCAGGTGCTTTTTTATCACGCCCCAACCTCACCAAACAGATGTATCCTGTTCTAAGATATTTAATTAAAGTGTTTAAGGGGCGCCTGGGTGGCTTAGTCGGTTAATCGTCCGACTTTCGCTTAGGTCATGATCTCGCGGTTCGTGGGTTCGAGCCCCGCATCGGGCTCTGTGCTGACTGCCAGCTCAGAACCTGGAGCCTGTTTCAGTCTGTGACTCCCTCTCTCTCTGACCCTCCCCTGCTCACGCTGTCTCTCTCTCTCCTAGAAATAAATAAAAAAAAATAAAGTGTTTAATCACATTGCTCACATGCCACACCTATGTTCTGTGATCAGTGATTGAATCTAATAATATTTTTTTTTAAATGTTTTATTTATTTCTAGGAGAGAGAGACAGCGTGAACAGGGGAGGGTCAGAGAGAGAGGGAGTCACAGACTGAAACAGGCTCCAGGCTCTGAGCTGGCAGTCAGCACAGAGCCTGACGCGGGGCTCGAACCCACGAACCGCGAGATCATGACCTAAGCGAAAGTCGGACGCTTAACCGACTAAGCCACCCAGGCGCCCCTCTAATAATATTTTAAATCCATTGAAATTCCACATTAAATACAGTTGTACCTGTAAATAATCCAAGCTGTTTAAAGCTTACTGCAAATGCATTCACACCACACTTTTTAAAAGTTGTAAATTATGATGGCATTTGTCAAGCTGTCCCTCCATCTGGAAGCGTCAAATATCAGGTGTTCCACATTAATTTTTTTGTAGGCTTTGGAGAAACAGCTCATCTAGTAGTGTACAAATTCACCAAAATGAATTTCAGCCTAATAGTTTACATTACACAAATGAATACTATTATTATGATTATTATTGCCATAATTCAAAGGAAAGATTATGAGTCATCTTTCACTGCTGAAAAGTTATACAGTACTACAAATTTAGAAACACAATAAAAATGCAGATTTCCATATGCTTTCTTTTTCCCCTTGTAGTCTAGCATTAAGCAGTTTGATTTTTTTCCCCAGACACTCTTTGGGAGGTGCTTTTCTCCCAAAAACTAAGACCTTAATCATGAGAGTTATTTTACCCCATTTGACTTTCTAAGTCCAGATTAACTCCTATCCAAACTGACCAAGAGGATAATGACTAAAAATCAGTTGGGTCCAAAAACCTCTAGTATTCCTATTCAAGAAGACCATAATGTACATATTAGTTCATATTATATGGAATAAACTTGTTATAATTTAGTCAACTACATATACAATATATCCTTTATAAGCACTCACATACACATGGATGCTACATGTATATTATATATATGCATATATGTATAATGCCATAAAAGAAGCACAGATAGCACAAAAACTACTAATCCCTCTCAGAAGTTTATTCAACAGTTATTTATTGAGTGCTATTCCTTCAAGCACTGTGATAGTCATTTAGTGATACTTCAGCACATATTAAAGACATTACCCTTATTATTATAAACCTTAAACCACTAGCTTAAAACACACACTGTCATGCACTGATTTTGAGTAAGTGGTTTAACTGAATGGGGTTATGAGAGTTAAATGTCAAAATGTATGTAATCCCATTTTGTAAATTGTAAAATACCATGTAATGTTAGTTAAGTATTAAGAATTTAAAGATAATGCTCTCTGATCCTCATATTCTTAAAAAAAAAAAAAAAAAAGTCATTGGTCTGTGATTGACCATGATTGATTTGGGGTAAAATCCAGTGTGAATAGGAAGTTGATAGAGTTATCTGACTTAAAGTGGGAGGAATATATCCTCTAGAATGAATATTACCTCATTACCTGGAAGTATTTTCTTTGGACTTGTTTTTCTCCCACCATGAAAAGTCACCGTAATTCTTGCAACTTCCATTTAAAGCTGTCAGTTTGTTTTCTTGCTGGGATTTTATTCTTTCAGTTTCAGGTACATTTGTATTGGGAATTGAGATAGAACCTCGCTGTAAATTACTCACTATTGTTCCTTTTAGTCATCTGTAGTGGATGCCAGTGATGTGCCTCACAAATCCCATCCTTCCTCCCAATCCACTCAGGACTCAGATACTAATTTCTACAACTGCTGGGAGTGTTGCTGGATGACAGATCTCTGCTAGGTCCCTCTTTGGAAATTGTCCCTGGTCAAAGAGCCATTCACCAGAAGATCATGCCTCTGCCCAGGGTAGCAGATATCCAATGAGGACTGATGTGGGTCTATAAAGGCCTGGCACTTGTCTATTCAGGACGTCTATTGAGGGCCATCCCAACTTTAGAGATCCCTTGAGTGATCATCTGAGACACCTGTTGGGATTGCAGCAGAGTACAAATTCTCCTTCTGTCCATCCTGCTTTATCTCCTATCCCCAGAAGTCTTCATCTAGACAGTGCTTCGTAATAAACTTCCTGCATGCACATTGCTATCCAGAGTCCACTATTGAGAGGGCCTAAGCTGCATTTTCACCACTGTAAGTTACTTAACAGATAGAATATATTGTATGTAAAATGTACTTAATTATCTACATGTCTGAACATAAAAAATTATCTCATATAATAAAGTCTTACTTATTTCCATGTTCTGAAATACTTCTGAATTTGTTCATACATTTATTCATATCACAAATAACTGTGTGCCTCCTATGCACTAGTTATAACAACACTAACACCAAAACACCAGAGACACCATAGTAAGCAAAATAGAAGTGAGCTCTATGCTTATGCAGCTTTGAGATGGTCTAGGGAGGTGAACATTTGTCAAGTAATCACACAATAATATAATATCTACTGTCAATAACAGTATCAAGGAAAAACAGAAGACTGTTCTAGAAGAGGGACCTGGGAAATCAGTGAAGGACTTCTTGAGGAAATACCCTTGCTGCTAAGATCTGAGAGACAGTTAAGAAGGCAAAAAGGAAGAGAGAAAAGCATTCCAGGCAAGAAAACAACCTGTGCAAAGGCTGCAAGGCCAGAGGTGTCCCAATAGAAGGGAAAAGAGGCTCTGATAGCTAGAGCTGAGGCAGTGAGTAATTGCTGTACTTGACCCAAACTGTTGCCATACAGTATTGTAGCCTTAGTTTAGGGTTTTGGATTGTATCCTTATAAGTATAGGGAAGCCATGGAAGTTTTCTTTCTTTTTTTTTTTTAAAGCAGAGGAATGACGTGATCAAATATTTATTTTTGAAATATCACTCTGATTGCACTGTGTGTGTAATGCATATTCATACATTCACTTGGGTGAGTGTTTTAAAATCAACCAAGGCAAGTGATTTCTGGGGATGGGCTACATTATTTCCTCCACATGCTAGCCGGAGTGGTAATCATTCTTGTCATTGGAAACCAAAATAGTGAATTTTCTACTATAGATCAATGCTATTGTTATTTAGTATTTTGTTACATTTGTGAAGCAGAGCCCTGTTTTTAATCAGTCTGGAAAGATAAACCTGCACCCAAAAAGGGCTTTTGTCTTGATCAGTGTATCTATTTCTGTTTTCCAACATAAAGCTATAATTCATTTTTAATCATCTGAATAATGAATGACATGCTGTTCTTGTTCTGTAGTTTGTTTTCATGATTGCCACCTTCCCTAGACTTTAAGGTCCTTAGTGATTTTGAGTGTGCTTATTTTTTTATCCTCCATGCCTAACATAATACCTAGCAATAGTGGGTACATAAATATGTAGGAAGCAAGTGTTCATTATTATTCTTTCTAACCATGACAGGGGGTACAGAAAGACTAAAAGCAAAAGTTTTTTTTAATAGATAAATAAGCATTAATGGGCAATTCCCTTTGCCTTCAGAGTACAAGTGGTTGATAAGTAAGTAAGTAAGTAATAAGTAAGTAATTAAATAAATAAATAAATAAAATCAACCAAAGTAGTAGTCAAAGAAATGCCAGTTAAATGAGATATGCTTTTTCACCTATTAGACTGACAAAAATATTTTAAGGAGTGATTAAGGTATAAGAACATTAACAGATTCATAAGATTCATAATGAGTAAACACTTGACACAGTATATAGGTAAAGCAGTTGAGCAACATATAGCCATATTTTAAACATGTGCATTTTCTTTGAACTAAGAACTTCGTTTCTGATATTGTCATCTTAAGAGAACTATGCTATATACAAAAGTTACCTAAGGAATGGCTCATTCCGAAGTTCTTTGTGCAAAAATAAAAAGGTAACAACAGAAATCTTCTACAAAAGGTGAGTGATTAACAACTGCAATGAGTCGATACAATTCAATTTTATTCGGTGTCTAGAAATAAGGTGGTAGAATATTAACATCAGGGTAAGATACTGACAATCCATCCAAAAGCATATGAGATTATAGGGTTTAAATATACATAGATGTGTAATAAACACATATTAGTTAATTATAAAGAAAAGTAAAAGTTATTTTTAAAACTCCATTGTATTAAGAGCAAATACAGAAACACATTTACCTTTTGTAAATTTAAATGTGTATACATACACATGTAAGGCCCTTATTATTCATGCTATGGTGTTTGGCACATGTTAGGCACTCTATAATTTATATGTGAAATATTTTACATGAAAAACTGAATACCAAAATTATCTATAATGTTCTATAATCCATTATATGAAAATAATTATTAACATCATCACATTCCTGGTTGAAAAATTTGTAAGCATTATGGGAACTGGCAAATTGAATTATGAATACTGTCATAGTCCTAGGTAAATTTGTTAAGAAATAGAAGCTGGCAAATAGTGAGAACTACTTAAGCTTTATCTGACTAGACAAGTAATCTGAGTGTTTAAATAACGTCCTATCACAAAATAGTCATTTCAGTGTATTTATTTATTTAATCTCTAAAACAATAAGCCTGTCAGTTTTTTGCTGCAAACCCATCATGGCTTGCCATTTCACTCAGTAGAAAAAAAAAATTCAAATAGTGGCCTATAAGGTATCAATAATATAGCTGTTTATTTTCTTTCCTCCTAATTCTGCTACTTTTGTTTACTCTTAACTTCATCTACACAGGCTTTTCCACTTCTTACCTCCTCTGCCTGCGGTGACGTTGTACCAGATATTTTGATGGCTAGCCTCTTATCAGCTTCAAGTATTTACATAAAGTTCACCTTTTTGGTAAGTTCTTCTATAACTACCACTTTTAAAATTACGGCTTGCATTTCTTACATTCCCTATCCCCAACTTCCTGCTTTATTTTTTTTCATAGCACTTCATATAAACTGACATTCTATGTGTTTTAATTAAGTAATTATTCACCGTGTACGTTTTCCTACTGAAGTTGGGTTTGTAAGATTGTTTTATTCACTGCTGTATTCCCAGTCTGGACCAGTGCCTAGTATGTTGTATATGCTCAACAAATATTTTGGATGAATGCTAGTGGGTTATAATCCCTTATCATTTTTTATACTTCTATATAAGCATTTAATTTTAAACATTATGCATTTATGTGTCTGTCTCCCCACTAAAAGGGATTGTTCAAGTGCAAGGACTATATCTTACTGATCTTGAACCCTTCAGTTTACATAATATCTGGAAATAAGTAAGTGAGCTCTAATATATGTTGATCGAGCAAACAAGTGGATGAAAAATCAGCTGTTTGTGTACTTTCCAAGTAGCACTTGCTCCAGTACATCTTCTAATGCTTAAAACTTATAATTTATCATGTATGCCAGTCAGAGAAACTCTAAGCTAGAAGCTTACTCTGAAACATATTTTCTGTTCTCATTTTTGTCTTAGCAACTCACTTGGCAATATTTGATAAGTATAATTATCCATGTAAAATACTTAGAATATTTTCAATAAATTTGAAAATATCTTACATTTCCTTATTTCATGTCTTAAACACATGCAAAGAGTTTCATTAAATTTTCATTTTTTCAAGTATTCTAAGCATTATCTTCTCCATCTATTGAAAATGTTATTTGTCTTTTTAATATTTACATTCAATTTGCAGAGTGCAAGGGAATGATTGCTTGGTAGTTTGTATCTTGGGCAAAATAACCAATCGTAAAATATTTTAACATTCTTTTAGAAGAACTAATATATTACATGTTTATGCCTTTGGATTTCATGTGTGTGTCCACGTGTTTGTATATACATATACATAATACATATGCACATATGTATACGTATACATATACACCTGCCCAGGGGAATAATTTTTAAATCTATTATTCAATTTATTGTCATCACTGAACTCATAAATTTCAACAGTCTTTTTTTAGGCTTCAATTGAAAGAACTTCCACTCATTTTCTTCTTCTTCTCTTCCTTATTTTTTTGGAAGATGGGGTAGGGTGGAGGAGTGGGGGAATGCTGATTAGTATGACTTTTCCAAGTAGCACAAATACATTTCACAATGTGATCTTTGATAAATGTCCAAATGGATTTTAAAACTAAATTGAACTGCTTTTTATTGAGGCCCATAATTTATTCCAACCATCTGTGTCACACACACAAAAGTTTGTTTCTTAAGGGCTCTCTGATATTTTCCCCCTCAGCAGCACCATTAGGATATAACAACATTAACATATTTCAGGATTGACTTTGGCCCCCTAAAGAATATAATACATCTTTCAGTCAATAAACATTTTTCAACACAACTATTTGTAATTTGGAGATTAAAAAATATGGAACCAAAATCTTTCTTTTGGCATCATACTTTCTATTTAAAGGCCACCAAATGTTTCTTTCTGAGAGATTGTATTGAGCAGTTAGGATCTTGGCATCCACTATTGTTTTAGGGAAAGATTTTCCTGGCCCACACTTGTTGTTGCTGGATAATGAATGACTAGAGTATATGGACAGAGCCACCTTCCCATCTGTACTAGCCTTAACTACCATTGATTGCTGTGTTGCGTCCTCTGTTGAACGATGCATGCTTAATCATTAATTTTACTTAGAGTTAATAAAAATACCTCTCTTCATTGATCATCTATTGTATGCCTAGGACATCACACACATTTCTGATTTAATCATCACAATAATATGAATTTAAACATAGAGAAACTCATGCTTATGTATTTTATTGGAATTTCTGATAATTTTTTGTAGAAATTACTAAAACAATACTAGAAATTTGTGGATTTTTGTTTGTTTTAAATGTATTGTACCTTATAAAGTGCAGTTTTAGTTTTCTTCACAGAGAATGATACTTTTAAAGTTCCTACTTTGTTAAACAGTGCATTAAACTTGATATTAATTATCACAGTGTAAGGAAAACAGGCTTTGTAAGATTAATTATATATTTTCACAAGATTTGTAGGTAGCTTATCCTGCCCAAGAGTCTTTCACTCAATATGCCTTCTATGTTATTATTCTGCCTTGAAATAGAGTAATAGTAGCCTATGATCCCCTACAGAATCTGCCTATCTATCTACTTCTATTCTATTCTATTCTATTCTATTCTATTCTATTCTATTCTATTCTTTCTGTGACCTATAATAATCCTGATGTATGGGAAATCATATTATCTCTATCATGGACTTTCTGTGCTATAATATGAAACATTTCATATATATGACTACATATAAGAATCAGATATGACTGTATCAACTACATCCTAATTGTCTGTGGTTGATACATGTAGTAAATCCATGCCTTGGTGATGAGCTCTATTAGAAACTTTCATGTTAATATAATGTGTTAAATACTATGCCATCTTTCTCCCATCATTTGAACTCAGCTAAATTGCTAAGCATATAACATGAATTTCTAAAAAGCTCATATCATGCATTGATACAAGAAGTAAATTGTACTTGAAAATAGATTATTCTGAGAATAAGAAAAATGTGGCTAAACTGATAAAAACAGAGATAGATGAAAGAATTTGAGATCATTTAATGTAGAGAGGATAAAGCTAGTTCATTTTATTTTTTTCATATTTATATGAGCTTTTTAAAATAGTAACAGCAAACAGTTGTTTTCTATTTTGACATCAGCTCAGGAAATAGGCTTAATAAATTATGAGATAGCTTATTTGGAGCTAAGAAAGACAACCTCTATATCAAAGTAATAAAATATTAGCATGGACTACTAAGGAAGATATTAAGTACCTGGAAATATGCAAAAAGGACATACACAACCATGTATCCCTGCCCAAGAAAGGCAAGCTGCTGGACAATAGGATCTCAAGTTGTCTTTTCTAATTTTTTTGTTTTATAGAAATCACTCTTTCCTTACTTTTCTTCCAGTTTTCTTTACTATTTATAACAATACGTTTAGCAGTAACAATTTCTGGCTTTTATTTTTAAACATCTGATTATAAGAATATTAACTACAGTTTCTCTTTTACCTTCCATTGTCAAAAAGTGAAAACAGGAGCACCTGTGTAGCTCAGATCACGATCTCACGGTTGGTGGGTTCAAGCCCCACTTTGGGTTCTGTGCCAACAGCTCAGAGCCTGGAACCTGCTTCAGATTCTGTGTCTCACTTTCTCTCTGTCCCTACCCTGCTCATGCTCTGTCTCTCTCTGTCTCAAAAATAAATAAAACATTAAATTTTTTTTTTTAAGTGAGGACAGTGATACATCAGCCAGTTTTTCAGGAAGAATGCAGATTCCAAGATAGATCACATTTACAATGTATCCCTTAACATACATATAGCAACTAGAGAGGTGGTTAATATCATATCTAAATAATAAACTCCCTTGTTCAAAGCCTGCCAAGGGGTATCCGGATGACTCAGTTGGTTAAACAGCGACTTCAGTTTGGGTCATGATCTCCTGGTTCGTGAGTTTGAGCCCTGCATTCAGGCTCTCTGCTGTCAGCACAGAGCGTGCTTCAGATCCTCTCTCCCCCTCTCCTTCTCTCTCCTTCTCTGTCTCTCAAAAATAAAATAAACATTAAAAAAAAACATAAAGGCTTCTCATTGAAACTGAAGTAAAATCCACATTCCTTATAACGGTCTACAAGGCCTGACCTATCTGAATATCCCTATATCTCCAATTTCGTCCCCTCCCTTTCTTTTTCAGTTCATGCCTCTTCAACCACTCTGATCTTAACAATTTGTCCAATATACCAAATTCCCAGCTCTTTCTATCCTTTGGATAAACACCAACATGATACAGAACAGGTGACCATTCAGCAATGTTAGATCAGAATATTCTACACACAAGGAACAGCAAGTGCAAAGCTCTAAAGTTTCTCTTTCTGTCATTTTCTCCTGGACATGTATAGGCACACATACATATCAGTGTCATTCTCTTTCTTCTGAATACTTTTCTTTGCTGAATACACACTGACATTGTATCTTTATTTGTATATTTGCTTATTGTCAGCTTTTCCTTCAATATCATGAGTACTATAATCAAGGACTGTTGACTTTTTTATTCTCTACTGTATTGCCTGTACCTAGAATAGTGTCTGGCACATGATAGACATTTAATAAATCAACCTCTCACTTCACTTTCAATTTAGAAGTAGACATTATTTCTGCAATGCCAAAATATGATAAAAAATATTGTTTATAGTTGTGACTATAGCCAAAGTCAGTGTATTTGTGACTGAATATTATGCTTCCCATCCATATAGGTTGTCATCATTGAAAGAGAACTGGAGTCTGGAGGTGAAGTGGGAAGTACAGTTTGCAGAAATTATATCATTTATTCTTTCTAAAACGAATCAAGGCTTATTGTCTTGGGTAGAAATATATTATTAAAAAACTTATAGTGAACCTCTTTTCTTCCTATAAGAAAACACTTGCTGCTTAAAAAATGTGATTCACTCTCTGATGTGAGAAGAATTTATTCCATTCCCTATCTGAGAATTTCATTGCCATTTGCATGTTGCCTGGAATACAAATTGTACTTAGTAATCAATCAGTGTTTAATTGCCGCTCAAGTAAACCCTTGTAATCAGACTTGCTGTAAAAATGTTAAGGTGTGCAAAAAGCATAAGGTGGCATTTTCCCCTCCTTCTTATTATGCCTGTGTAACTTCCATTAATACTAATAGGAGGCACAGCTGGTCGTCAACAGGAGATTACAGGTTGCTGCTTAAATCGTATTTTATTTTTATACCTTGGCAAGATTTATGTATTGAAATCAGGTGGCCATATTTTTGCTGTTGTTAAGAAAGCTTTTACTCTGAAAGAATGAGATTGGGGGAGGGAAATTGAG